TGCCGGTCCACCCTGGTTCCAAGCCCTCACCAACTAGATGCAACGGCTACTCTTCCTGCAAGCAGTAGACAAAGCAGGCAGCTGCCAAACGAGGTTAGAAGGGAGCATTACACGACTTTAAACGAGCATGTTCCCTAATTGATTAGCAAGGTAACAACGTTAACCGGGAGGACATTAAGTGAGGTGTTACTGTCTCACGCCCAGCACTAATTATAGAACAAACATGGGCGTTGGATGTTTACCAGCGGTGAGCGCAGGCCAGGGAGCTAGGAGCTCCTAAACTGCAATCCCAGTCTGACCACCGCAAGGTGTAATCTCCGCCACCTGCAGCTTCCTGGGCTGGTTTTGTTTCTCAGGGTTTGGAATTGCTAAGTGGCCCCAGGAGCAGCTCCATTACCCGCAGGGCAGCTGGCTTCCCCATGCTCTTCCTGTGTATTGTCGGTGGGGAGGATCCCTCCAAGGCGCGCCCTCTGCTAGCACATTGCATCCAGACTTCACTGGCCTTGGCCAACACGCCTCTCCCGCAGAACTGGGACCAGACGCTGGACCTCCCTCAGGTAAGAGGCCTGAGCGCCGAGCAGTTCAGCTCCCACATGAGTGGATGATATTCAGCAGACGAGACCTGCCTCTTGGTTAGCCAGGCAGGCTGCCTCCTGAATCCCGGCCAGTGGTGCTGCTGAGCGAGCACCCTGCCCTCCGAACGCGGCTGGGGTCACCGTGCTGCCTGCAGCGCCGTCTCTCAGAGGAGACCAAACCCACAAGCAAACCACTTGTGCCCACTCCAGGAGTCCTGCTGGTTTTCACTATTGTAGAGCTGTTCGCCGCAGCGTCACACCCACTTAACTTCCCTGGCCGATCCAACTGAGGAAGACGGCTTTGTTTTTGCTGCCCCGAACGATTGCCTAGTGTTTGCTGTGTCCCCGCCCCCCCCAGAAGTGACCCATGTGCATTCTGTGTAGTACGTCAAGCTCCTTTGCAATGAAAGCTGCTCTGAATGGGAAATAACTGCAACACTTCTGGGGGGGTACCCAGGGCTGCAAGGCACCTTGCTACCACCTGCCCTTAGCGTGAGGAAGCCATATCTGTGAGGGGTTAGTTCACAAACTCCACCAGCCACAGGCAACACAAGCACTCCCCCCCTCAGCCCTCCAGGCTTCCCCCGGAAGAGTCCAGCCTGTATTCTACTGCACGCTCCCCGCAGTCACAGATCCACCGCTCCCAAAGGCACAGTACACACCTCAGAACCACCGCTCCACTCAACTGACAGCACTTGGATTAGTGAAACCAAGTAAAAGTTTATTTAACAAAGACCAGAGATTTGAGAAGAAGCAGACAGAATTAATGGGAACAAATGGTTACATATAAAATAAAATCATAACATGCTTTCTAGAGCCTAAACTTAACAAGACATTCCCCTGTCTCATAAAGATCACTCACCCAAAGTCTCTCTTATCAGTGCCAGACCAGCTGTGATCCTTCGTTCATACGACAAGCCAGCTGGCAGTTTGACCCCTCAGTGAAGGATACCTGGGCATACCATTGTATCCCCAGATATAGTTCCAGCCATCCATCGTCATCACTTGTAAACAGGGAACTTCCTGCTGCTTGTTTTTTCCTGCAGAGAATCTCCCATGGAGATTTCACAATCTCTTGATTAGCACTGCGGTCAGTCTGTAAACAGAGAGCTGTTGTGAAGTATACAGTACTCAATTTACATATAGCCAGACAGGTGGATAAGCAGCTCCCACCTGAAGACAGACAGACACACACACACACACACACACCTCCTTACATATTATCCGTACAAACACGTCACAGTGATTATGACGATCAGCATGACACAGGCTTTCACTAGAGACCTTACCAGACACCCTTTGATGACTGATTCTGTGGAGACCAGACCCAGGGCACTGCCTTCTGCCAGTGGGCACCAAGATGTCCCTGGCCACCACGGTGCTCTTTGTTGTGTGTTCTCTGCAGGTCTCCGCCTTGCACGTGCTGCAGACACTGGTGCGTGGCTCCGGCCTAGGAACGACGCTGCTGCAGTATGTCACGCCTATGATGGCTCTGCTTCTGAAGGCACTAGGCTCGTCTAGCTGGGCCATGAGAAACGCAGCCATCCAGCTCTTCAGTGAGTAACAGCTGCTTATTCCTAGCAGTGCCGTGGGGTGCACACACGGGTGTCCTTCCATCAGTCAACCTCCATAGGAGCAAGGGCATTGCTCTGCTCAGTGTCCGGCCCTGAGTGCCCTCGGAATGGAACAGGAAGCAAGACGAGCACGTCAGAAGCGCTGTTGTGAACAGCGGTGGGGAGGAGGGAGGAGACCGTGTTGTACGGTTTGCAAAACGTGTCCTCCAGTCTATGGTGAGTCTTAATAGGCTAATTCCTATATCTGTTAGCATCCCAGATTAGGCCAGCGCTGGGCTACTTCAGGAATGCTCAGCTTACCAGGTCTGCTAGCCGCTTCCTTTGCTATTTAGGGTAGCTGTTCCCTAAAGGGTCTAAGAAGAATGTTTTATACAGAATCCCACCCCCACAAAGCATTTTCCAAACTGCACTCAAGGGATGGCCCCAAGCAAAACCTCAGGTCTGACCTTTGGGCCAGTCCCAGTCAGGATCTAAATTTTGACTTGTCTCCATCTCTCCCATTACACACAGCATCAGTGATCTCTGGGGTGGAGGGTGGCTCAGCATGAGAGCGAGTGGAGTGGGAGATGCTGGACAAGGGCCCGAGGGAAACCCCAGCAAACAGGCCACAGCATCTTTAATGCCCTGCAGAGCAGGGGGGACCTACTTTTCGGAGTCTCTTTTGAGAGCGCCCCCCGTTGAGTAAATTGCATGGGACTCCATCTCCCTGCCTGGGAAGGTCGAATGACTGAGCCAGCTCTGCTAGGATTTGAGGCAGGGTCCAAGGAGAGATGTCAGGAAGTCTCCGTGCTCAAACCACTAATATGTTTCCTCTGCCTGAACACGACTCTGGTGGACTTGCTGTTCATGCTGAAGCGCAGGGCAGAGTACATGGGGGTAGCTGGTTCATCCCTGCCATGTGCCAATGGCCGTGGTTCCTGATGCCCTTCCCCCGCTTGTTTTCTTTCAGGCGCCCTCACAGCTCGGGTGCTGGGTCCGAAGCGGAGCCGGGACGATAGCTGCGCTCAGGACGGGGTGAGCCCTCAGGCGTTCTTCAGCCGCTACCCGCAGCTGAGGGAGATCCTGCTGGGAGAGCTGCACTCAGCTCTGGAGACGGCAGGAGAGCCGGAGGGAGGGAGGTTTCACCTCTGCCCCTCGCTCCACGCCATCCTCACGCTCTTGGCAAAACTCCAACCCGGGGCAGATGGACTGAGCAGGTAGAGAAAATGGGGAGGAGGCCACCCCATGGGCAGGTGGCAGGGTGCAGGCTGGGGGTCCACACAGGGGCACTGCTACCTATGGCCTGCGTGAGGCTGACAGCCTCCCAGAGCCAACAGCATCAGCCACCTTCTGCAGAGGGGGAGGGTCCCTGCCCTCATCTGAGTCACTCGCGTCCTGGCAGAGGATGGGCTGCGCGATGGCAGGACGCTGCAGTGGCACTGCTGGTCCTGAGGGCTCAGAGGCCCCGTGGAGCTGACGTGCAGAGCCGAGACATGCTCTCGAGCGGTCGTGGTCCTTTTCTAGCCCTTTCCGTTCAGCTTTGTTTAGCAGGGACGTAGACCAGCAGCAGGATAATCTTTGCTTTGTTTCCCGCTCTGCACTGCTCGCTCTGCAGCGTCTCCACTTGCTTCCTGGAGCCCTTGCTTCAGCTTGCAGGAAACCCCATCTACGCTGTGCGAGTCATGGCAGCCAAGGCCCTAGTCCCTGTTGTCCCTACAGCTGAATACGGGAAGATCCTGCTGCGACTGGCTGGGGACTTAGCTAAGCAAGGCGGTGTCCTATCCCACAACATGCTGCATGGGCGTCTGCTGCAGATACGGGCTCTGCTGGCTTACGCTGCAGACACGAACTGGTGAGTGGGTTTAAGTGCCGTTCCCTTACTCCCTTTCTGTTTTCACGGCAGCAAGGCATGACCTCAGATCCAAACTCCAAAGCCAGGGGTGTAATGTGAGCAGCCTGGCAAGGAATGCCGAGGCAAACGCTGAAATTAACCTAGGAACGTTGCTTCCCAGTTGAGCGGCAGAGCAGCGGCTCCATCACAGACTCACCAGCTGACTCGCAATCCTGCCTTTTGTTATCGAAGGGGCAAGAAATAAGGACTCTGCATGGAGCCCTGCTGGCTGCTTCATGGAGTGCTAGGGACAATGCAGAAGGACGTACGCTGACCTCATGTTCTGGTTGGTTGCAGGGGTGGGGGAAAAGGTTCCATCACACACCCTAGAAACAGGAGGAAAGAGCCCAATGACGCCGTCATAAGACAGGATACAGGGTGGTCTAATAGCGACTGACCTTCCCAGCCTTTATCAATGCAGTACCCTGTCCCCTTCCAAGAAACAGAATTGTAATGCATGGCTCTGCAGAGGGAACTGGGCCAGCACCTTTCAAAGAGACAAGCTAACGCTCCTGCATCCAAGGTGGCTAGTAACAGCTAACCCATAACTATTGTTACTGGTACCTCGCTAAGTAAACTCTGACGTTTCCTTTCAGTTTGTCACCAGATGCCATGCTGTCTGTGGCTCACCAGATGGAAGGCCAGTTCTGGTTGGTCACCCCTGCACAGCAGTGCCCTCTGATTCGCTCAGCCTACCTCCAAGTCATCTCCTTGTTGGCGGGGAGCTGCACCCAGGGTTTTGCGAAGCGTTTTCGAGAGGTTGTGAGCAGTGAACTGGACAGCCTCGGGCCAGGGCAGAAGGCAAGATCTTCCAAGCTCCAGGTATTTGCCTCTCCTGAGGATGTGTTCATTGTGGCTCACTGGGGCCTCAAACAGCTCAAGGAGAAGGAATATGCAGCAGGAAGATGCTACCAGTCAAGCTGCAAACACAATGGACCATTGTAAACTCTCTGCTGGGTCTGGAGGACAGGATAGGGAGGAGGAGCAGTCATTCTCGCAGTGGGATCCTTTGAGGCTTAACCAGCTGGTGTTTGTAAAGTGCTTGGAGCAGGAGAGGAATGCTGTCGGATTTAAAAAGTCTCTGGTGCTCTTACAAAAATGGTAAATGGCCTTTAACCTCGAGCATCTCTGCTGAAGGGGAAAATGTAGGTTAAATTTAGTTCTCCAGCTATTTCACTTTTATTCAATGTGCTAGCCGTGGGCATGTAGTGTCGGGCATTCATCCAAACCTGGCCCACATCAAGGGGATCTTGTCCCTGTCTGGAAAGCAAAGCCTTTCCTGGAGCAGCTTATAAGCAGCTGTTCTGGTTTTCTTGCAGGTGGGCTCCGTTGTGTTCCACCAAGTTATCACCCATTTCCTCTGCAAGGAGGCAGCAAGCCTGGCTGGGGCTGAGAGAGTTGGTGCCGTTTGCTTGCTCCTCCAAGGGGCAGATGTTGATATACAATCAGCCATCCTGACGTGGGTGATTGAAGGGGAGGAAGAAAGAAGCAAGGACTTGGAGAAGAGTCTCCAGCTGACCTTACTGGTAAGGCAAGGCTCCATAGAGATTTTAAATCAGAGCGAACGCTCAGGAGCTGTCCAGTCCTAACACCCCCACATTGTGAAACAGATCGTGCCTTTCTGAGCTCTCATTCGGATGAGCTTGGCTAGTTAGGTGTTCCCAGCAATCACTGTGCTGAGGCCATTCACTTACCGTCTGCCTTTCCCCGCGCATCCTCATGGGAGTTTGAACCCAAGTCTCTAGAGGTGAGGGGCTAGAGCGTTTAATACACCACACTTCCACAGCTGCAGTTTAGCTTTAGAAGTGTCATTGCTCATCCCGAATTGAAAGGACTTTTTCCCCCAAGAGGGACAGTGATTCCTTATTTCTCTGGGAACTTTCCCTTTCTTCATCAGGAGAACCTAAAATCAGTGCTACAAGGTCGGAGGGACAAAGAGTTCTTGAAGTTATACCTGGAGGCTTTGGTGCATCTGTGCCGCAATCCTTCATCCCAGGCCCAGGATGTTTTCCATAAACTCTTGGGTCCTGCAGCAGCATGTGTGGATGTCCTGCTATCTATGGTGGAAACAGAGTCTCCTGGCCCAGACCTCCTCTTCCAGGCACTCTCCGTGATTAGCTTGCTCCTTGTCCTGGGGTAAGTAGAGTCTTATTCTCCTGTACCCTCCCTCTAATTCTCTGATGGGCCATAGACGTCAATAAGAGTTTTGCCCTGGGTTCACTGGGCACTGAGCCCTACAACAGCAGACACTTTTTTGACATTGCCTATATAATATATTCAGGTTTGTGCTTCTGTCCTGGCTTTTTTCCTCTTGCTCTTACTTGGTTGGCATTGAATTTTATTGGAGGCATGTGCCTTCCACAATACCGATTTAACTGGCGCTGCATTCGAGCTCTGCCCTGCGTGGTAGGTCGTCGGATACCAATTTACTCCACTCCCTGAGAAAGTGAGGAGACAGATCACTTGCAGCAGAACAGGAGCTGTAGTTACATGCCTGCAGCGACACGTAGAAACGTAGGGGTACCAGTTACAGAGGTGTCGGTGCAGGAGATAATTGTCCAGTAGGCAGGGTACAGCATAAACAATGCTGTGTGTCCAAGGAGCTCTGGGGCAGGTACCACGCTAAAATACTGGCAGCTACAGTAATCCTTTTGTGCCTGGTGTAGCATTTGAACTCAAGTGGCCCTGCTTCTCGCGACTCCCAGACCCTGTGCTTGAACGGATGGAGAATAATAGGATGTAATGGCTGTGAGAGGGACAGAACCAGAGGTGCTACTGCTTCTCCCCCATGTTCTGCAGAGACCCATGACCCTTCGCTGCAGGCCCTGATATACTTTAGTGCATCTTGATTTCATTTTTGCATTGGACATCAACAAATGCGCCAATGTCAAAGGATTCATGGCAGCTTCACTAGTCTGGTGCAGTGACATGGGTCTGACTTATTGGTACAGAACCTCCCTGAAAAGGGAGAATTCTGTGTTGGGGCAGTCGGCTGAGTGCCGGTGTCTGATGGAGCCAGAAGGAAAGACGTGACTTTGACATTTCTTCTCTCTCACTCATCCTGTGACAGTTCCAAGCTTCGGGATTATCCCCTGCTTGAGCGATGGTGTGTGATGCTGGAAAGATGCAGCAAATCCATTTCTTCAGAGGTGCTGAGACTGGCGGCAGCAAGGTCTCTCAAGCTGGCAGGAGCGGACGTGGTTCAGAGTGCCTTGGAAGCCTCCTGCCCATCCCTGCTGTCGGTGGCTGTGCGGTACGTAGCTGACACTTAAGTTGAGGCCAGAAGGGACCCAGCAGATCATCTCGTCAGACCTCTCACACCTCGTATCACAGGCCACCACCACCACCACCTCCTGCACACTGATCCCAACCACTGAAATGAGACCAAAGTATTCCAGCCCTCAGGGGACTAGAGTATTATGTGCCACAGGCAGAGAGTAGGAGGGGCTGCAGTGCACCAGTGCCTGAGGCTCCCCCTACAGCAGGAAATGATTCAATGAGATACACCCACGTAATCCTGGTAACTGACCCGCACCCAGCCGCTGCAGAAGAAGGTGAAAACTCTGCCAACCCAGAATACACCAGAAATGGGCCTCAGGGCTGCTGAGCCTTAACCCCTACCAGCACAAGCGACCCCATCATACAGTCACACTAAAAAAATGGATCCAGCTCTCTCTTGAAACTAATTGTTTGCCCCCACAACACCCATGGGAAGGCTGTGCCAGAACCTCATCCCTCTGATGGTTAGAAACTGTCTTCTAATTTCCAGCCTGAATTTGTTCATGGACAGTTTATATCCATTTGTTCTTGTGCCAACATTGTCCTGTAGCTTAAATAGCTCTTCACCCTCCCTGCTATTTACCCCCTCATGTATGTGGGGGTAAATATCATCCATCCTTATTCTCTTGTTGTTGATACAACTAAAAAACCTTGTATTATTTATTTTTAAATTTCCTGGCAAGAGCTAATTCAGCTTGACTTGGAGCAATACTTGTGGCATGAAAGTCAGGTTTTCTTGATGGTCATTGACAATACACATTTCCAGTACTGCTCCAGCATCCAAAATCCCAGTTTCTGGCCCTAAAAGGTTAATGACTTGCCTATTTAATCGAAGACTTGCACTAGGAAAACCGCATTGAAGAATATTAAAGGGGACATTGCCAAGTTACAAGTCACATTTTTAAAAACAAGATGCTGTTACCTGTGCTGCTGCTGCTAGCACCTGAAAGACTCGGCTCCTTTTCGCTCTAAGTACTGTTTATTTACTCTCTGCATTTCACTCAGCCTGGACAATGAAAATGAACTCGTCAGTTTCATTTTCTGGCCCTCATGCAGGATAACTCAGCTCTGCAATATTCCAGTTGCAGACACAACATAGGAATATTGAAATTTAAACAAAAGACTTGTAAGTTGGAGTTTAAATAAAAATACCGGAAACGTTTCTGTTGACCTAAGGGTTTGTAAAACAATATTTTTTTAAACAAAATGTAAATGTTGGGTCCAACTCTCCCCAACAGTATCCTCATGAAAATCCTCAATATAATATTGGATGGGGCACTTTGCACTGATGAACAGAGACAGGCTGACTGTGACAAGGTGATGGAGTACTTGAGGATATTGTATGTCACTTTACAAAAGAGAAGAAAGGATCTTTGTTAAACATTACCAGGATGTAGCTAGTTTCCATCTGACCATTATGCTGGTATATTTCCCCCTTTCCCCTAGCCTCCATCTATTAGCTTGGTCTCTTTCAACTCTAAGCTCATGGGGACAGGGCCTTTCATGTATGTAACACCTGGTACATTGCAAGCACTACCAGAAACAAGTAGTGATGATATTGACCATCCAAGTTTCCTGTTAGTTACAACCTGTGTAAGATTATCCCCTGGCATTGTAGTTGGACAGCTTAGAAGTGCTCCAGATACCACCATATGCTACTAAAATGAAGTCTGCTTTCTTTTTCCACTCAGTGTGATGAACATGGGCATTTACCTGCTACAAGATGAGGATCAGGAAGTACGGCGTGAAGCCTCTGTCTTCGCCAGCCTTGTTCAGCACGTGTCGGGAGCGCGGCCTAAAGATAGTTGTGTCTTCATCCAGGGTAACAGAGGGCTGGTGTGCCTGCTGCATGTCCTGCTGGAAAAGTTCTGGGGCTGCCAAGAAACCTTTGAGTTTTTGCTACGGCACCTCCCCACACTGGATCTCAGCAACATCTTGACAGAACTGGAGGCCAACAAGTGAGCAGCTAAGATTCTAAAGTGGTGTTAAGGAGACATATACCAGAAATATTTCAGTACCCATCTTCAGCTGTGGCCAAGGGGAGGGCACACTGCAACTCCAGAAGGGATACAAAGATTGCTTTGAGGCTCCCACATCCCACTTTGCACTGGTCCAATATCCCAGTGCATATTCGAGCAGCTGCCTGGCAATAGCCCCAAGGGGCCAGGAGGAGAGCTAGGGATTGTTGTGGCGTAGGAAGATCTGGCCACTCCTAGTTTTCTCCCGGCCATGTCCTCCCAACACTAGCTGCAGACACTAGAAATGGCTTAAGAGTGTCTCTGGTTGTTTCATGCCACAGGAGTATACCAATACACTAGAGAGATCCCGCCATGGCTGGTTATGCCAGCAGCGTATTGCAAAGCAGCCACAGTGCAGACTAGGATTGGGAAACCTGTCTTCAGGAACAAAGGCAAATCACAAGAATTCGGTTGCCTCTTAGGAGGGAGCCCAAGTGACCAGCTGGTAAAGAGACAGCTCAGACTTGCAAGCAGTGATCGCCGTGTGCCGGCAAAGGGCAAGGAGGGGATGCTCCATCTCCTCGTAGGAGTGAAAAGAGCAAATGCAGTCTGGTTTTGTCTCTGCTTCCGAAGGAAGCCACTCCAGGTGGTATTCCAGAATAAAAGCCATAGGGACGACTTGTTTTTATAAGGGCAGATTAAAAACTAGGCCCTGCAAAGAAATGATCTGTTTAGGGGTTTCTTTGTTTTTGTTTTTCAAATAAAAATGTCCAGACTGGATGCAAGTGAGGCTGAAAATAGAGGGCAGGGCCTAGTGAGTTCTGTCTCCATCTCTGCCACAGTCTCACTGTGCCACCTGGGGCAAGTAACTTAGTCCACCTACGTTTGAAAATCCTGGCCTAAACTTAAGCATCTAAATCTCTATTCAAGCACCTAAATAAGTGGCCTGATTTTTTATTTATTTATTTTGGAGGTTCTGAGCACCCATAGCTCCTACTTCACTGGTGGTTGCGTGTGCTCAGCACCTCTCAAAATCAGGCCACTTACGTAGGTGCCTTGCTTTAGGCACTCAAGTTTGAAAACCAGGCCTTTAATCTCTCTGCTGCTCCCTCTGTACAGTGGAGATGACACTTCAGTCTCTCCCAGGGGAGTTGTGTGGATTAAGGAGTTAATGGGGGTACAGTGCTGTAAAACTGTGCTATATAGATGGGAAACATTATTGTTGCCAGCATCCCAAGGGAACTGTCCCCCACAAAGGGAGGCCTTGGGCCTTTCAATCTGTAAACACCAAATATGTGCAATCCCATCCTTTCTAGTCACCAATACAGAAAGCCCCGGTTGCTCATGCAACACCCATCACTGTGCTATCGCAGCTGGTACATAGCGTGACATCGTGCAGAGGTGTTTGGAGGAGCAGAGCAGTGAGTGAGACAAAACGTGGGGTTTATCGTTTGACTTGGCTTCCCTTTCAGAGCCGTCAGTCTGTATAAAGAGGACGAACCCAATGTTTTTGCAGAGCCAGCTGTCTTATCCCGGCTGCTCCTCCCCTTCCTCCTTCAGCTGCTGGACAGGGTGCCCGCCTCTACTCAGCTTTGTGACTTCGCTCAACGCTGGCTGAAAGCCACCGGGCCCAGCATCTTACACAACCTGCAGCACTGCAAGCATTGGTGGAGCCAAGGTACGTAGCTGCACTGGCATCGCATCTAATCCCTTCCCAGGGTCAGCCTTAAAACCAAAGCAAAGCGGGTTGCATATATGACACTTGTTTATAAAGCACAGATTTGTTTATATGTAGGACCTGCACTAATTGCCCATCTCTTTAACTATGTGGTGCTAGAATAATTGCTTTAAATAAAGTGAAAGGGAAGAAGCAGCACATTACTTCCTGCCCTATTGCAACTTCAAAGCTACATTAAACTTGGGGTTTAAGTGACTTCATAGTATTCTTTACATTTTTTCAATGTTCTCAGTCAGGTTAATACAATTCACCTGGACTCTAGCCCACGATCCACAAGCAGAGAAACCTGCTACGTTTAGGTTTGTTGTTCCAATGTTTCCCCCCCACAAACCAGCCTCCCTTCAAACAGCACCGAGACTGGGATGAACAAAACAGAGTGCAAAGGAAAAGCCAGGGAACACTCACTATGTTCCATAATTGTCCCTTTGCAGGGTCTGTGCCATTGACTGACAACCCCAACTTGTTTTCTGTATCTTGGCCAAATACACCACACAGTTCAACCAGCTCCTAGTAGCGCATCACGAATAGCGCTTAGAGGTGAAACTGGAGAAGGAGAAACAGCCTTGAGGTTTTGGATAACTGGAAATTGCATCCAGAAACCCGCTGCTGTTACCTGCCTAATAAACTATTTGCCCTTGGCAAGGGAAACTGCAGTAAAGTCTCTGTACTAGAGCTGTCATGCTGGGGAGGGGCTGGCCGTGCTCCATGCAGCCAACGTAAGCTGAGGCAAACGCCCAGTGGAGCTGCCTGGCATTTGTGTAAATGAAGAAAACTAAATAAACAGAGCTTAGCACAGGCTTAAGCACAAGCCCGTGTCTGGGCCATGTGTGGACAGGCTAAGTCAGGTGTTCTTGGAATTCACCTGTGCCAGGAACAGAAAAAAGCCAGCAGTCCCTGGTGGGTATTCATGGCTCTGCACCCTCATGCTGCTGCTGGGAGTGCATGTCAAGGCGGCATTGGTTTTTCAGTGACAGCTCAACTCCTGCTGCAGCAGCGTGGTGCTTTATCTGCACTCTGGCGTACATGGGAATTTGGCTCATGGAGAGGATGGGACAGTGAACAGGAATATTTGCCCTCTCGTCTGTCTCTATAAATTACTTTTGAATGCCACTGATATCCGATACACACCCTAACCCTATTAATGCCTTGTTCTGCTCCCTTTTAGAGGCCATTGCACCTTTGCATATGAAAGCTCTGGGGTGTGCAAAGGTGCATGCTGCTGTCACAGCGCTACTGGTGAAGGCTACACTTCTGGCCCACGCTCTGGATGGCCTGGAAAGGACCCACATCAGTGCTTCAGAGATCCACTGCACTTCCCAGGAGCTGAGAAGTGAGCTTGTGCTGGTCCAGGAACTGCTGGCCCAGCATGGAATGGCCCCCACCTTCAGTTTAGACTATGGGATCACAGATACAAGGTTCTCAGTAAGAGCTGTCTGATCATCCCAGGTGGCAGAACTGTGTTGTACTGAGTTACCATGAGCCATTAGCCAAGGGGCAGAGTGTGCTCTCTTCACACTGTGCTTTAGATGTCTGTTCCGAGACAATGCTGGATCTCTGTGCTCACCTTCCTGATTTCTCCTCTGCTGGGAGCCATCCAGAACTGGTAGGTTATTGATGTAACTCAGGTGCTCCCCGTTCACCAGCCAGGAAAGGGAGGTGGTACACTGTCCTACTACCTGGGATCCAGGCCCCTTTTCCCCTCAGGTTAGCTTGGTTCCTCAGACTTATTTTATCAACCACACATTCTCTGGATCAGGCCAGGAGGTGACAGCTTCCAGTTCTTCATTCAGAGGCAGCTTTACAAATTACTACTACCACCATAAAATACCAGTGATGGGCTAAGACCATGTTTCTGCTCCTCTCTACCTGAAAGGCATGGGCTCCTTGGTATGCCCAATATTCTCAGGTCAAGACAGCCTTCCCTGTAATGAGGAGGGTTGGATGCACTATTCCCCAAAGGACCAGAGAGAACACGTCTCGAAGGACAGAGGTCACATCTCCAACTCCGATCCCCCTGCTCACCTGCTCTTATTTCACTGTTTTTTATTCAGGTTTGTGGCTTCTGTTATAAGAAGCCAATAAACATGCTTTTGGCTGAATAAAGTGTCGCTTTGACTTTATCGCTAATAAACAGTCCTAATTGAGATTTGCTATTACTCAGTGCTATAAAGCAATCTGGGTGTCTGTATTTTCCATTTGAAAAGCCTTTCAATCAGTTAGCAAATGCCCTCTGATTCCTCAAATGTTAGTCTCTGACTCTCAAAGCTTAGTTGCTGCTTCACTTATAGTCTAACTCTAGTCCAAACTGCTGGTGCAACAACACTCCCATACCAACAGAGCCTTCATCTTGTCTCTGTTGAGCACGTGCCTCACTGATTCAGCCTCTGTCCCAGAGTTCCTGTCCTCAGAGTACAGAAGGGACCCTTCACATGTCACTCTCCAGTATGATGTAGTCAGAGGGTGGGGAATATGCACAGGAGCTGATTCCGTCTGAGAGCAGATCACACACACAAAGTCAGGGCTGCCATAACTTTCCTTCGCTCCCCTCTTTGTAGGAACTAAAGTCCAGGCTGACTGACTCTGCCTATCACCAGTACTTCAATGAAACATCTAAAGCCTCGTTGGGGAAGTGAACTCAGCTGTGCTAATCGCTCCTACAGGACTTAAAATACACAAAGCAACGGCCATGGCAGAAAAGTGTTATTTTCAAAATGTTTTGGAAATAACGTTTTTAAAGCCTGACATTCAAATTAAGAGCCTGACATTTTAGTTTTAGGCCATTTCAAATGAGAATTAAGATACAGAGCTCAAAGGAACCTTCTGGGCCATCGCGTCCAGTCTCCTGCTGTCGCAGGTAACCCCATCGCTTCACTTCCCAACTCCTTTACCTGTTTATAAAGGGTCCAATGTGCCCACGATTCCATTCATAAAATACAAGCCCAGTCAAACTGATCAAGCCCCATCTTAAAACTAGTTAGATTGTTTGCCCCCTCCCCCACGCCTATTGGGAGGCTACTCCAGAACCTCACATCTCTGATGGTTAGAAACCTTTGTCTCGTTGCCAGCCTAAGTTTATTCATGGCCAGCTTATACCCATTTGTTCTTGTGCCAGCATTGCTCTCTACCTTAAATAGCTCTTCACCGTCCCTGGTGTTTACCCTCCTCATGTATTTATTCCTGAAATTCAATGTTGATAAATGCAAAGTAATGCACATTGGAAAACATAATCCCAACTATACATATAAAATGATGGGGTCTAAATTAGCTGTTACCACTCAAGAAAGCGATCTTGGAGTCATTGCGGATAGTTCTCTGAAAACATCCACTCACTGTGCAGAGGCAGTCAAAAAAGCTAACAGAATGTTGGGAATCATTACAAAAGGGATAGATAAGACAGAAAATATCATATTGCCTCTATATAAATCCATGATACGCCCACATCTTGAATACTGTGTGCAGATGTGGTCGCCCCATCTCAAAAAATATATATTGGAATTGGAAAAGGTTCAGAAAAGGGCAACAAAAATGATTAGGGGTATGGAACGGCTGCCATATGAGGAGAGATTAATAAGACTGGGACTTTTCAGCTTGGAAAAGAGACGACTAAGGGGGGATATAATTGAGGTCTATAAAATCACGACTGGTGCGGAGAAAGTAAATAAGGAAGTGTTATTTACTCCTCAAAACACAAGAACTAGGGGTCACCAAATGAAATTAATAGGCAGCAGGTTTAAAACAAAGTATTTTTTTCACGTAACGCACAGTCAACCTGTGGAACTCCTCGCCAGAGGATGTTGTGAAGGCCAAGACTATAACAGGGTTCAAAAAAGAACTAGATAAATTCATGGAGGACAGGTGCATCAATGGCTATTAGCCAGGATGGGCAGGGATGGTGTCCCTAACCTCTGCCAGAAGCTGGGAATGGGCCACAGGGGATGGATCACTTGATGATTCCCTGTTCTCTTCATTCCCTCTAGAGCACCTGGTATTGGCCATTTTCAGAAGACAGGATACTGGGCTAGATGGATCTTTGGTCTGACCCAGTATGGATGTTCTTATAGGGAGCAATCATATCCCCTTTCAGCATTCACTTTCCTACGCTGAACAAAACAAGCTCTTTTAGTCTCCTCACCGACATTCAGCTCTCCAGTCCCCTGATCTTTCTAGTGGCCCTTCTCTGCACCTGCTCCAGTTTGAATTCAGCTTCCCTGAACATGGGTGATCAGAATTATGCATAGTATTCCAAGTGAGGTCTTTCCAGTGCCTGGCACAATGGCATTAATACATCCTCTCTCTTCTGGAAATACCTCACTTGCTACACATTAGGACCACATGTGCCATTTTTATGCCCAGAGCAGTGGCATAGCCAGGATAGGACATTTGGGTGAGCCCCAACTTCAGGTGGGTGGGCAATGACGGGGGCAGGAGGGATCGGTGAGCCCGCCCTCCCTCCTCCAGCCGGCCTTGGGGGCAATGGATGCTCTGACCAGGGACCCTGAGGGCCCTGGCACGCACCCAGCTCTGGGAGGAGACGCCGCTCTCCAGTGCACAAGGAACCCCTCCCCATCCCACTGCCCCACACCGGGCCCGGCTCCCAGAGGCAGCAGGCCTACCTTTTTTGAGGATCTCCTCTGCCACCGCCACTCACCCGCCCTCCTCCCAGTTGCAGATTAGCCACTGGGCCAACAGGGCCATGCCCAGGGGCCTCAGCCAATTGAGGGACCCTGGAAAAATGGGCGCCCCCACCTGCTCCACTCCAGCTGGGAAGCGGGGCTGCGGTGCGGGAGCTTGCACATAGGCAGAGTGGGACAAGCCCCCACACCCCAACCCTGCTGCCTTGGTGGAGTGGGGCAGAGCCGAGCCAGAGTTGGGCCTGGATGCTAAGTGGGTGGGCCCTGGCCCACAGTACATTTAATGGCTCATAGTCAACCTGTAATGAACCAGCACACCCAGGTCTTTCTCCTTCTCTGTTGTTTCCGACTGATGAGCCCCCATCTTGTAGCAGAAATTCTTACCCGCCCCTGTGTGCACGGCCCGACCTCACACTTTGTACCATTAAATTTCATCCCATGTCTATCGCTCCAGTCCTCTAGGTCATCCGAGTCTTCCTGTAGAATATTCTGATCATCCTCTGCAGTGGCGACGCTGCCCAGCTCTGTGTGGTCAGCAAAGTTCATTAGCACACACCTATTTTTTGCACCAAAGTCATGACTGAAAATATTAAGTATCGGTCCCAGGCCAATCCCTGAAAGGCTGGAACACTTGCAGGAGTTCCCCCTGCCTTCATAATCTCTGCTCCATCACAGGTACACCCCCCTCCCCACCCCACCCCATTAACCACTGACTGGCATATGCCTGGGCTCTGACACCCCCCTTACCCCCAGAGCTCCCTTCCTGCTGCTCGTGCGGCTCCCCGATTTCCCTGCCCCAGCTCCTGCCGCATTAAGGGCTGGCCCCAGCACCCCACCTGCTGCCGTCAGGCCAGACCCGCCTCATCCCCAGGAAACACGGCCCCTGGTCGGGGGGAGCGGGGCAGAGGAGCAGTGAGCGGCCCGGGAGGAAAGACCCGGCCGGGAAAGGGGAGCCGGTGCTGGGCGAGGAAAGCAGCGAGCCCCCGGGCCGGGGCCGGTCACTGCCCCTCCGGCTGGGCAGGGGGCTAAGGCCGCGCTCGGGCTGGGCGGCGGCACCGGGAGCGAGCCCCAGCGACGGGGCAGGGCCCGGCCGGGATCCCGGAGCCAGGCCGGGGCGTGGCCACGGCGGCCCCGCGTGTCACGGGATACGTGGCAACCCCCCGCTTCCTGCCGAGCTGGGCCCGCGGCAGCCGCCGCCTCCCCCGGCTCCAGCTTCCGGCCGCCGGCATGCGAGCGCCGCAGGCAGGTAGGTGCCGCCCCGCGGCCGGGCCGGGCCCCGCGGGCTCGCCCCAGCCCAGCCGCCCGCCGCCCTGAGGCGCAGCCATCCGCTCCCGGCGTGCAATGGGCCTGCGCTGCGCCCCATCTTCAGAGGTGCGGGGCCACCCCAGCGAGGGGACCGCCCCCAGCGCGCGCTGCCCCGCAGTTCGTTAGCCGGCGGAACTCACCCCCACTGGATACTGGTGCGGGAAAGAGCTCAGTAGGGGGCCAGCACAGTTAGGGGTTTAGACCAGCAATAAAAGCACCTGGAGTTTCAGGCACCAGGAGAAGAAAAATAAGGGGGCTAAACGCTGGTGCTTCGGGGCATCGGCCAGGCACTAGGAATTAAGGATTAGGCAGAAATTTCCCCTATCAGGGGGTTATTGCGTAATTGTGCATTTGAGGGATGCTTTTACACCTTCTTCTGCAGCATCGGTGCTGGCCCCTGGCACAGAGACGGGATGCTGGGCTAGATGGACCATATGTCAGGCAGTGTCCTTGCAAGTCAAAGTTCCCAGCATTGCGGTGATGACCCTCCTGTCTCTCTCTCTCTCTCTGACATGGGTGCCTTTGAAGGCCTGATCCCTGCCCCAAGGCGCATATGCTACAAATCTGACAAAACAATAGAGAGCTGCCGGCCCTGCAGAGCTGGCTGGATGCAGCTTGTAATTCTCCAGCTCAAAGTAACAGGTGGCACTTTCGGTACAAAGGTCCGGCCTTCAGGGACAGCTGATGCCCATGTGAGCTACTGCTTGTTGACCCCAGCAAGCTGTAGTCCTTGTGGGCTATACTTCCACAGAGAACAGGATTGGGAGTCAGGAGTCCAGGGTTCTAGTCCTCGGCTTGCTCTGTGACAGACCAGTTGCTTCACCTTCCTTTGCCTCAGTTTCCCTGCATTTAATGTGGTAATTAATTATATTTACCTTCCTTCATAAAGCCCTGTGAGATTCTATATGGTTATATAGGGTAGCTGCTTAATAGGAAGGATTTTGTGCTTTTAAGATGCAGACTCCAAGATGGGCCTTGCTGGATGAAGCTGCTGTGTTGCAGGCTGGGACTGGAGCTCCGCCAGGCCTCACTTTGGCATTAAAGGCCAGTGTGGCTGCAGGCAGCTCAGTTGTACGCAGATCCTGTGCACCTCTCAGGCTGGGGCAGTTTGTCAGTGAGGCCCTTGGTTAGGCAAACTTCAGCCACTGCTGATTGTGAGGCGCCCCGCTGGATCTGTGGCTAAGGCCAGATTATCTAATCGTAGGGTAATCTTATTTACGTGCTTAAATCACCTGAACTTAAAGCTGCAGAGGGTCCTATGGGTATTGATGGTTGAAACATAATTATCAACCGATTGCTCCCAAAAACCCCAAACTTGGATGGAGTCACGATCCACCTCGTACAATATCCTCTTCTACCACCTGGGCTCACTACTATGGTTAAGCGGGATCTCATGGTAAATAGTGCCATAATGGTGACTTGTAATTGAATCGCAGGGGCAACATGACCACAGCCAAGCCAAAAAGACTCAAGTTTTCCGAAGAAGAGAAGTTCCTCATCCTTGAAGAATTCAGCCTGCGCAAGGACATCCTGATCCCCAAGAGCGGGCGCTACAGGAACACGATGGACCGTCAGCGAGCGTGGGAAGAGATCACTGCTGCTGTCAACTCCCTCAGCCCGCTCGTGCAGCGCACGCCTGACGAGATCCGCAAGAAGTGGCATAACATGGTCATTGACGCCCGCAAGGAGCTGACCACGGTGAAACACCCCATGCTGAGGCAGCGGCCCCAGGAGAGGCTCTTCCACAACATCTTTGCTCTCTTCAATAAGACAGGGCCGGAGCTGGCAGAACCATTGCTTCTGGGCCCTGGGTTCAGAACGAAGCCGTCCAGCGGCCCGGCTGGAACCGCAGTGCCTCTCTGTGCAGCGGAGGGGATGCGGGAAACTTCGTCAGACTTATTCCTCCGCAGCCAGAATGATGGGCTTCAGCTGAGCCAGGGGAACAAACTGCTCTGCAAAACGGAAGTCCTTTTGGACGCAGACAAAGAAATGGCACCAGGGACTGGCTGTCCAGGAAAGAGCTTCATCCGTATGCCAGGGGACCCGCAGCCCAGCGATTTGTGCTTGGGTGGATCTCAAGAGAGTGTGGAAAAGAGACTGTTGGGCCCCAGTAAGGATCCTCCGCTGACTTGTGCACCCGTAGCTGAGACACACCCTGTGCCAATTCCCAGGACTACCTCGCCACCGAGCCATGGACCTGAGGTGCCTGCTCCTGGCAGGACTCCGGTGCCTCTGAACTGCTCCCCAGACTTTGCACTGGCCTATAAGATCAAGTGCCCTTTGAGCCCTGTATTCGAATGGCCTTGCCTAGGGGTCATCTCAAGCCCAGTCACACAAAGCAGCAGGACTGACAGCCCCAGCTCCGAAGGCATCCACACAGCAATGGATGATAATGGTGAGACAGCCACGCCCGCTAGCCAGGCCACACAGTGCCCAGCTCCTCCTCCTCCTTCCCAGCAGTATTTTAATTGGTGCGTGAAAGGAAGAGGCTATTAGTTACTAGCAGCAGCCTGGCAAACGGGCCCAATCCTGCCTCCCGTTACACCACATATAGCTGTAGATGCTACGTGCAGTTCAGCAGAGCTACTCTGGATACTTACCCGTGTCACCAAGAGCAGAACTCAGCCTATTCTGAGCAGAAGCCATGCGAGCTCTGCCAGTATCTCTCAGCCCTGACCAGTCATTGCCCTGCTCCTGGCTGGAGTACAAGTTTCCATCAGTGACAGGTCACCTGGTGGGTGGGAAGAGGCACCAATCTCATTTCACGTGTGAGCTGAGCCAGGATTTGTACTTGGTCTGACCCTGGTGATAGAGCTGCCTGTGCCGCTTTGCCCTCTGTTATGGAGTGTCATTAATAGGCACCAGCCCTTTCTAAGCAGGCCATGGTTGCCATGAGAGGAGCACGTTGCTATCAAGTGACCATTTAGAATAGATTTTAAGCTGCCCAGAATTCCCAAGAATGGACCTTTCCTCCCAGCCCATTGCCAAGTGCTTGGCCAAACATGTCTCCCCTGAGAATGGCTCTGAGTCAGTGAGCAGTGCCCCCAGGGGTGTGTTTGTGTCTCCAGTCCGTCAGGGAGCATTTTTCCTACTACCACTATTAAGATGCCTTTGCAGAAATACAGCCCTGTTCTCCCCTGCTCCAGCTGTGATAACCGTCAAGTGACAAATACTATTTCCATCCCAGGGCCCAGGGTTGTAAACAGCTTAGAACAGGGGTTCTCAAACTTCATTGCGCTGCGACCCCCTTCTGACAACAAAAATTACTACACGACCCCAGGAGGAGGGAGTGAAGTCTGAGCCCACACGAGCCACACACCCCAGATGGGAGGGCCCAAGCCCCATCGGCCCAGGCGGGGGGGGGGGGGAGCAAAGCCCAAGCCAAAGGGCTTCAGCCCCAGGCTGAGGCCCTGTAACCTGAACCACACTGCCCAGGGCTGAAGCTCTTGGGCTTTGGCGCCGGGCAGTGGGGATTGGGCTTCGACCCCAGACCCCAGCACGTCTAAGCCAGCCCTGGCGACCCCGGCCCACATTGGAGTCCTGACCCACAGTTTGAGAACCGCTGGCTTAGAACCATCTTGGTTCCTTACTACTGTAACTAGAGACGAAAGGCGGGTCAGCTGAAACAGATCAAATCCAGCGAGAAGGGACACCTTGCTTTTAAGCAGTGGTTCTCAAACTTTTGTATTGGTGACCCCTTTCACACAGCAAGTCTCTGAGTACAACCCCCCCTCATAAATTAAAAACACATTTTTTTAATATTTAATGCTATTATAAATGCTGGAGGTGAAGCAGGGTTTGGGGGTGGAGGCTGACAGCTCACGACCCCCCACATCATAACCTTACAACCCCCTGAGGGGTCACGACCCTCAGTTTGAGACCCGCTGCTTTTAAGAGAGTAGATGTACAATTTGAGGCTGGGGAGAAGTTCCCTGTGTCTGTTTTTAGTGTTGCTAAACTGTCCTGAAGCTCCGGATCATGCGTAGAATCGTGCCACAGATCTGCCCCGTATTCCCACTCATTCTCCAATTTCACCCCACTCTGCTGTCTGTGTGACCATGCTCCTTCCTAAGCCAGAATGCATTGGACATTGGCGTTACGGTATCACTCACTCCCTTCAGCCCACTGCAGTGAGGGCGTCTCCAGCTCTGCTTCTGTCCAGCTTGCCAACCAGGCTGCTTAGAACTTCAGCACAAGTTGGCGGTGGCCTGCCCCAGCCAGTGTTAACAACCTCCGCATGGCACTATGGTTAAACCTGACAGAAGGGGCAGGGCTTACCCCCCTGGGAAGGGCAGCTGCAGATCTCCCATTGCCATTAAGACAGCCCCACCCTCCACCTTAAGTATGCTCGGGCAGCTTGAAAGAACCTTCATCTGCTCTCGGAGCAGGGTCGCACCCTGAGTACACGAGCCCATGCTGACTTTGCTTGCTGTTCATCCGCCTGGGATTGCATGGGAGGCTGTCCCATGGCCTGGCTCACTGGCAGCACTCAGTGAAATTAGTCGTAAGGTGCCAGTACAGCTTTAAATGCCCGTTTGTAGCGTCTGGCACTACAGGCCTCACCACTATTTGATGCTTGGCACGACTAGTGGTTCTAGGACATCAGAGCTACCACACGTCTCATGTCTAGGTATGTGGGTAACAGGAGAGGAGTATCAAGGTGGGGGGCGGGA